CCTAATTCAAACTTCAGTTATCCAAAGATGAAAGTAAGCATTGATAAGCTAATTAAATTATTTCTGAAAAAGTTTTAATTTCTTAGCAAGGCTCCCAAAAATTTGTGTCATATATCGATATGTCAGGTACTTTTCATAAAGCAAGTTTTTACACAATATACTTTGCACCCTCAATTTATAACAGTTTAAAACAAAGAACTATATTTTATTAATACTGCAAAAATGTATGGATTGTGATTTCATAATGGTACAATTCACTAATTTATAATGATGCTTTATGCTACACAATTTAATTCAGCATCGCAGAATTTTAGAGCTAAAAAGACTTTTAGAGATGATTTTGTCCAAATCCTCTAATTTTATAGATGAGGAAATAAGGCCAGTATGGTTATGAAATTTGCCCAAGTTTACACAGCCAATAGAGGTGAACTGAGATTGGAACTTTAGGTTTCCTGACTATGACAATGTTCTTTCTCTTAAGCAAACAACAGAAGGAATAACCAGCAAATAATCACGAAAGTCTCTAACAGTCAGGAATGAATGACTAATGGAAACATATCAACTCTTTTAATGGTATGGACCAAGGAAACATACTCACTCTCAGACTTGCTTATCTGTCTGTCTATCTAAAGTATGCTATTGCTATTTCTGATTATGTTTTGAGACTGCTACAAGTGATTTGTCATAATGGAGCAACATCTCTCTATCTCTAGACTCTATCACCTACCTACCTACCTACCTATCTGGTAGACCATGTTAGATATTGTGGTAGCTAACCTCAAAAAGATGAAATATTTTATTTCTAAGTACTCTTTTATTAGCATTTTTGTTCCATTTCAGTGTTTGAATGGAATTTTTCACAGTTACTGCAGTTAAATAAATAACATTAACAGTCATCAAAACATTGTGAGGAAAATTAACTGCTATGCTCCTCAGTGAGGCGGGCAGTGGAAGAGAAAGTGCTGTGTGTTTTCATGAAGCCAAGCTGCTGGGCGGAGTTTCTCTGATCAGTCCCTGAAAGGCTGGGCTCCTAAAGTGATGTTTTCAATGGGAAAGAACACTGCAAAAAGAACCGCAGAAAATTAAATTTGAAGACAGCTATTAGATGTCTAAATTGCTTGATAATGTTACAAAATATTATTTTAGGTTTTGAGAATTATCACTTACATATATTAATTTTTAATGCAATTCAGGTTTTTAAAAATCAATAGAGTAAGGCAGCTTCTTCTAGCACCCCAGTGCTTTGTGGGAAATTGGGTGTAATGAGGTGGAGTAAGCATGGCAGAAATTGGGACACACATAGGACCCTTGTGTCTTTTGGATCATTCCTGACTATTCCTATCAGCACTTATTCAGAATTTAGTATCTTCTTATGGCATTTAGTACATCTTGTAATGGAATTGTGGCTGGTACACATGGCTCATCTCCCCTACTATGTAAAGATTCCTAAGTCAAGGACTCCTGTTTGTCATTGTTGCAATTCTTGAAGCTTCTCTTATTGAGCTTTACCCAGATTAGATGCTTAACATAATTTTTTTGAAAAGATGAAAAATTAATGTGAAAGGTTTTGTTCATATTTACACAGATTCAGAAATAATTCATGCTTGTCACTATATTTACTAACTTTAAAACTCTCAAATTATCTCAGTCTATTATTATTTAAGAATTGATATCTATTATTAGAATATTTCTTAAAAGGGGGCCTTGGATTCTCGTGTACCTATTGATAGATTTTTAGGGTCTGAGAATATTTTACATGAATTAATTTTTTTCAAATTGGTAAAATAATCCAATATAAATAATACAAGTATCTATTGGTTTATGAAAATAAATTATAACTGAAAAATGCTATGTTATTTCATTCTTTTCTGTTTTGGAATGTATTTAGAATACACTTTTGACACCATGAATTATTTTAAATATTAAGGAGAAAGAGAAGACAACAGAGGTGAACTTAATACATAAAGGTGCATTCATACAAGTATAGGTCAGATAACACTGTGGTGCATTGTATAAATGGACTTTAAAAATAGTCTAACAGAAACAATTGAAGGGAGAATTGAATTAGTCTCTAGTTAGTATAGACATGTCCAACCTAGATAGAATGCTCTGATCATTCTGATCAGCCAGAATCACATTTAACTATAATCAGTAATTTGATTTCAGCAAAACAGTATCATTTATTTTAATGGGAAGCAGCAGGAAACTTGACTTTCACTGGTTTTGTTGTTTCAGACAAAATTGATTTATAGATGTGTTTGAGTTCCGCAGTGGAATAAGATCTTATGAATAAACTGATTTTATTTTTGTACATATTTAATCAAAAATTGTAAGAAAATAATTTAACTCCATC